TTAATAAGTAGGATTCGAATTAGGTTCTATATTTTTCCATTGGTTTTTTGTCAATTTTATTGTTGCACAATATTTCAAACCACAAACTTCCATGGCAGGGGCACGTCCTCCGATACTACTACTATATACGTCGCTTGCGTGGTTGGAGTAGCGGTTTTGCTGCCTCCTCCGTTTCCTGGTGTTTTTATTGAGGCGGGTTTGTAGGGTTTATCCTCCTCTTCCTTGTTGACAACATAACATGAACTATCATCCTGCCAGCATAGATTCATGCCAGCCTGCACACATGAGCTCACCCTCCGATTGTTGAACAATCACTTGGGCAACAAGATTGTGTTCCTGAAAGCTTTCCTGTTGTGTGTTCAACGAGGACATGTTGCATTTTGCACGCACGGCGCGAAACCCAGGACACGATGCTCACGAAATGAGCAGCCGTCGGTGAGGAAGATTTCATACTGTACGTTTCATGTTGTTGATGTTCTGCATTCACAGCATCAGGCATATTGCAGCAGTCTCTCTAATGCAATATGCCGGATGCTGGAACCTCATATGAGTGCAACGCAACCTTCGCATCCGCATCCAATCAGCATAGCATTGCAACCGCATGAATGCATCGATGGAACAAGTGGTTGACAGTTCAAAACTAAACAGGAGCCTTGCGCTACTGCTCTTTGTCCTGATCCTTGTTCCCCTGCTTGCCGTGCATGCCGTCGCTTGCGTGGTTGGATTAGCGGTTATTGCTGCCTCCTCCGTTTCCTGGTGTCTTGTTGAGGCGGATTTGTAGGGTTTATCCTCCTCTTGCATGTTTGCTCCAGTTTGCCTTTTCTTTCTCTGTCATTCAAAAGATATGATAGTGGGCATGCGAGGGGTTCCAACCCATCCAAGCATGAGGTAGGGTGTGAGAAAGAGGAGCGAGACAGAGGCATGTGCCCAGCAGCTGGAGAGGTAGCCAGGACTTGTGCTGGGGTGCTGCTGGGAGGTCTGATGAGGGAGAGAAAGATGCGAGGAGAGGGAGAGAGCTGACATGGAAATCGGCGGTGACGGAGGTCGCGGATGAAGAGTAGCTGACGCTCTCAGAGCTCTGACGGACAAGGTCGACGGGGAGGAGGGGCAGAGGCAACAGCGGCAGGAGCGATGGAGGAGAGAGGAGGAGGAACAGCAGGAGGAGGGGAGGGGAGTGTGTGCGGTGAGGAGAGGGAGGGAGGGAGGGGAGGGAGGGAGCGGGAGGACGGAGGGGCATGAGAGGAGAAGGAAGCTAGCCTCCAAGCTCCTCTACAGTGCTCGTGGTGCTTGAGCGGCTTGAGGGGAGCTGGAGTCCAAGTCAAGGCTCTGATGCCTCTGCGCTCACTGATGCTCGCTTGATGCTGCTGTGCTCCAGCTGGAGCTCTGCTCTCGCAGCCTCGCTCAGACTGAGAGCTGCCGCGTGTCTTGACCTTGATGCCTTCCGCAGGCCGGGCGTCAGGTCAGCAGAAGCCTCTTGATCGAGGGCCCGGCGCGGCCCGTGCGGCTCATCCGAGTCGCAAGCCCGTTAAGAGCGATCATCCTGGGCTTCAAGGCTCAGGCTCCGGGCCCCCAGCGAGAAGGCTTCGACTCGGCACCCGTGAGCCATCGCTCGGATCATCCTGGGCTTCCATTTCATTCGTCGGGATCCAGGGCCGCTGAGTCAGGGCCCGCACAGTCAGCCGCAGTCACTGTACCCCGGGCCCGGTGACCGTCACTGAGTCACGTTGTCTTTTACCGTACGGTCCGATCAGCCTAGCAGCAGTCCGCCTCGGATCCGTTGCTCCAATTAGCGCGTCCACCCCTTACGATGACTAGCGGAAACCTGGGGCTTCTGGGGGTGGGGTAGGGCAGTGCAAAATACATCAACAGGTAGGGTAGGCTGGTGTTGCTCACCCGTACCTGATAGGCTGAAACCATGGGATTATACAGGGTGGTATACGACTAGGGTAGGGCTCCATGTAGAGGGGTGGTTGGGCGGGAAATATGGCAGGAGGATGAAGGGGGAGAGCGGGAGG